ACTAACACCAAGCACTGTTATTTCTGTGCTGGATATTTAACAGGCTAGCACAGTGAGAGGGATTTACTAACAACCAATTTCTGCAGATTAGACCTGTTTCCCTGTCGCTGTTATAACACTACTCCAGAAAGGACAATGGCTTTCCTTCCCTCACTCGGATCAGTGGGATCTCATCCAGTGCCACAGGCTCGTCAGAAATGCTCCGAAGTGATGGGGAAGGGGTTGTTGTTGGCCTTCCTAAGATTCACCTTCTCATCTGACACGACACAGCTGACAAGTCACTGACCTGCCCTGGTGAGCCTCTGCATGAGGATGAGAAGGAGGGAGGAGAGGAAAGGGGAACTGTAAATGTCTGATCTCTGGGGACTGAGCAAAACACCCGGGACAAAAAGCCCCTGTAGAAAACTGCTCCTAAAAATCATCACATCTGTCTTTCTCAGGTCAACTGACTGCTGAAAACAGCAGCATGGGGACATTTGTGTCACTCCCATGCTGGGAATGGCATCGGCAGGGCCTGAAGAACTCACCAAGAGCACCTTGTCCTAATTTCTTAATTAAATGTCCAAAATAAGAATATTTAGGGCTTTCAGCTCTGTGTGGTTTAGCAGTTCTGCTTTGGGATTCCCAAAGATGTTTAAGGGCACTGCAGAATTGTTTTGGACAGCTGGGATCCCTCCTAATGGGACTGTTACAGAGTTATGGAAAAGGAGAAGATGCATATGAAAAGGAAGATACAGATCTAGAGTAATTTTCGGTGTTTATTTACAGAATGTCTGTACATAACTCCTACAGAGTTACTCCCACCTTAGGTGAAAATAACGTCCCCAGCCTGAAGATCTAAATTGTTTGGAGAAGACTATGAATTATTTTGCTTGGTCAAACGTCCTCAGTCATTTCTTCAGTGAGGGACTCTCCTAAGGAGTTCCTTAAGATATTCTCACTTATTTGCCTCTCCATGTAGCAGACACTACTCTTTCCCTCTTTATCTGGTCCCTGGTCACTGCTGGCTGCAAGGCATGAATCTCCAACCCTTTCTGCTGTCCCACCACTCTGGAGAGCCAAGTGGCCCTTTGCAACACCACAGGCTGCAAACACACCCAAACTCATCCACCTTTCCTGGGAAACCACCTGGGAAACCGCTATGGATCTCTGTGTCAGAGAGCCCCAGCCATTCAAATTCCTGTAGATGTGATCGGCTTTGTGATTATCAGCCATTACCCAACTGGGCTGGGTATTTCCACTCCTGCCCCTCTTGTTTGGTCACAAGATGTTTGATTAGAGAGACAAAGAGAGTTTCCTTATATCCTCCTTGCTGCCTTTCGAGGGGGAAGAATTGCAGAAATGCAACAAGCCCAATTTCCTCTCAGTCAAGACTAATTTGAAAGCTGACCAGTGAAAGTATGTTTTTTCTTAAGCTATAATACACTTCCAGCTACTGGGATGGCGGAGGCTGTAAAATATCTACCATATGTAACAAATGAAGTTTATTTCTCCCAAGTGAGAACTCATTCAATAATGTTTTTAAAAAAATTAGCAGGAGGATACAGTCTTTTTGGTGCTACCTTCTTCAGCAGATTTTTAATTCTTATTTCCTCATCAAAAACATTTTCTACCTTGGCTGGTACGCTCATTTCTCTGGTATTTCCACACACTAGTGGTGTTTGTTGTTTTATTTGAGAAAAGTAAGGTTTTTTCACTGAGATGAAGAGTGATCTTTAGTTCTCTCAAAGTCATGCAGGTCAATATATTCCCAGTGGAAAACAATTCCAACATTACTCTGGACAACAAACATAATGTGTGAAAGAACGAATGGAAAACAACTAGAATGGTATGAAATGTTTAGCAAAGCTTGAAAGTATTTTATAAGCATATTTTTGCTTCATAGGAAGAGAAAACAAACACTGAAAACTACCAACATTTAAACTTATTTTCCATTAAAGGTTAGTTAGAGCAGCTCTAAAACTGTCACAGAACAGGACTTTAAACAAGATGGGGAAGATGATTCCTGACCTTTGAATATCACAACATTTACTCAAGTAAAGAATGAATCATGATGACTGAATGAATCCACAGAGGGGACTCCGTTTGCAGTAACTTCCCCAAAGAGAACTTCAGTGAGCCCCACTGGTGAGTGACATTCCCATGACATTTCACAGAGCACCAGGAATGCCATGGTAAACTGGAAGACCTCTGGGACATGGACTATGTTTTAGTTTGAAGTAATATTAGTCACTGAGACCCAAATCCATGAGCTGAGTGTCATCGCCAAAGTACAGACAAACCCATGAAGGTAAAGAATGGAATTCCATCCCATGAAAATACTGGTGCAGCCCTTTAACATGAACAGAACAGTGCAAGCAACTGAGTGATGGCAGAGCTTTGCAGTGCAGAGGCAATGAGAGGCACTAGGAATTTCAGTCTGACTTCATATTCACACGTTATCAAAATGTGTAATAAGGGAGTGGGAAACACCTCCGTGTTCACAGGTGGCACAGAGGAATGGGAGCCAGAAGCCAGGTGTGGCACTGAGCACACAAAACAGCTATTTTCCTTTTTGGACTGATATATTAATGTTTTCCTTTCTTCAGTGTGGCATCACCACCCCTCCCCCCGTGAAGCCGCAGCAGACAGGGCACTGTCTTAGCAGAACTGGTGTGAGTGGCACCACTGCTGTACTGCCACAGGGCACAGTTCCTGCAGAATATCCTCACATTCACCTGTGCTGAGCCTAATTGCTGCTCAGACAGCAATTAATACCCAAATATTTAAGACAAAACACACCTCCGAGTAATCTAGTGCATAACCCCGATTTCACATTTGGTTTGATGGTGTTTTGAGAGCTTAAGCCTCATTTTCCTTCTTATCTGTCAGCACAGGAGAATGATACTGTGTTTTCTACTGGCATATGTTTGCTACTGGTTTTTTGCAGCTGCATGGGAGTCAAGGCAGGAAAAAACCCCATGTCCAGTGAACTTGGGAGCTGACTGGGTCCCATGGGGAGATGACAGGGCTGTGCCCAGATATCCACCTCTGAGGCAGAGGCAAGATGCTCTGTGCAGTGCCCTGAGGGTCCATGCCTTGTTTTATCTCCATCTTTTGCGCTGTTATGGGGAACTGATCACCACTCAAATGTTTTGCCTCATGAGGGCCGGTATCCTCTCAAGAGATGCTTGGAAGATAGAGGTAGATTCCTAAGCTGGTACAAACAAGCAGACGCTCCTTTTGAACATGCACAGGGAAACCAACTGCTCTCATAATCCTACAGGACCTCCAAGAGAGACTGAAGTGCTCATTTCTTTTCCCCCTGGAGCAGCCAGCACTTCTCTGCTTTTGCAAGAAGCAGCAGTCACGGGTGATGGAATCCCAGCCTTTTGCAGCACAAGGACCTGTTGCCTTTTTCCCTCCACCGAGCTGATTTCACGTGCTGAGGCCACAGGAACCAACGGCACTCCAGTGGGAATGAAATCCCTGTTCTTGCACTTCCTTGCTATTGATGAGATCCGAGCTGACAGGGCTGATCCCCGATTTCCGGCTCTGCCGAGAGCCTTCCCAGCCCACCCTGGGGATGGGGATGGGGACAGGGATGGTGCCCTGCGCTCATGGAATGGGAATTACATGTTAGCAGTGGAAACACCACGCAGGCTGGCTCCCCGCTGAGTTATTTACTTGCTTGAAATGTCAGCTGGGCTATTTTTCTCCCTCTCCCTCCCTCTCTCCTTCCCCTCCTCCTCCCCATCCTCACCTTGCAAAGCAGACAAAATGCCAAGCAGAAATGTCACTCCAGCCAGTAAGTTCGCTTTGGGGCATAAGCTGCACTTTGATAATGGTATTTGTTCTGTGGGTGGTCAAATTCCCCTCCACCTCCCCTTTTTGGTCCCAACCATTATCTCACGCAAAGATAAGGTTCATTATCCTCGGAGCTGTGGACACTGCAGAGCTCATGAATCAGCGTGTTCACGGTGCTTATTAACGATTGCTGCTCTCGTGCACCTTTTAGATTTGTTCTGCTGCTTTCTCTAGGTGGGAAGTCTCCAAAAAACTTTCAGAACCTCAGTTTTGAGGCACACATATAAGTGCAACCCATAAGTGCACATATGTTGTTTATGGCTACTATTAAATCTAAATTTAGTTTGCGCTCGGGCTCGCAGTTCTGCTAGCAACAATAAGTTTCTAAATCCAAAAAACTAACTCAGGTTCATTTATATAGTTTATATTTTCACAAGCTTAGTCTGAGATTCAGGTCTATCTATCTCTCTTTTGCAGCCTAAATGACAGCACTGTCCTGCAGGAATAGATATTCCTGCTTCTGTTGGCTAGCAGGAGGCTTCCTAATCCTATGACTTAAAAGATAACATCAAGAAAATTCAAAGAGATTTGGTACAGTTTCTCCTAAACTGACTCACACTTTAAAGCTTAACTCCTAAAAATATTTAATTGCTTTACATTGGCATAACCCGCTTCAGGTGAAGGAAAAAAAAGAGATCCTGGAACTCGTCCTACATCTACTCTGAGAGGACTGCACAGCTTTTCATACACCAGCAATGTCACATGCCCGTAACTTTCTAGGTAGAGACAATGTGAATGACAAGATGAGTAAGAGGAGGTAATATAAGCACACAAAATGGGGAGCAGTGCCAGGAAAACAGGCTGAAACAACTATTTATCCCCCCCCCTTTTTTTTTTTGTATAGCATGAACGATGAGCTTTCAACCTGAAAGGAATACCTTTCCACAGAACAGAAATCTGGATGGTGCCACTCTTCACCCCAAGATTACATTGTCATCCTGAATGCAGTGAAAAGAATTAAAAAACCCCTCTACCTACAGGAAAATAATAAACACAACAGATACAAAGGGTAACATTACAGAAATATAATAGCTACAAAAGGTGAGTAAACAAAAGCTTCTGAATGCATAAAACCTTTGAATCTTCAGGGCATAAAATCTACATTTTACTGCTTTGGGGATGGGTTTGCTTTTATCTGCCTATTGCACACTTACCTCCCCAAAAATGGTTTCTCTTGGCTGCTGTCAGAGGTGGCTCTTGGCCAACTGCATCCCTGGCTGTGCCACACAACCCAGTTCTCTGCAGGCACTGCAAAGCAAGGAACACAATCTCAAACTCCACAGTCAGGTTCCACACCCCTCCCCAAATTGCACTAATAAGCTCATCAATGATAATGAGCAAAAGAACAGTAATTGAAAAGGACCCAAATTCAAAAAATATCCAAGTTTTTACCCTTCTTATCTTGGGCTTCACCACTAAGTTAGGTTAAAAGAATTCATTTGAAGTGAGGCCAAATTTGTTCTCAAATTCATTTGATTTACCCTGCAAGATGTACCGGGCTGCAAGGACAGATGTGAGAACTGAATTTGGTTTTTGAGAGGCTTAAAATAGTACCCAGAACCTGGAAACTTCTGTTATCTCAATATCAATTTTTAACCTGATTAGGGAGAAAGTTTCATTTGTTCTCTGTGCCAATTCCCAAACTATGAGGTCATACAGCACTGGTACCCAAACTCCATTCCCTGTCAGCCCTTTACACAAGGAATGGAGTCTTTGGGATTGGGAGCAGATTCAAGTTTGTAAACCAGTTCATTCTTCCAAAAGCAAGCAATTTGGTGGTAAACCTTCCATATTTTAGCAAAGCCTCTGGGATCAGTATATGACCTGTGCATATATGCCTTCACATATGCAAACACTGGCATGTTTATTATAGGCTTATCTAGCCAGGCTTTACACAATGATGTTGAAAATGAGGGAATCAAGTGAAAAACGACAGCTGGCAAAACTTTTGCCTTGCCCTTTGCCTTTTTGTATGTAAAAAGCTCTTTCTGCTTTATGGTCACAGAAAAGTGTACGAGAAGAGTGTGCCTAGGAAAGTCTGCTTGGATCACTGCCATCACTAGAACAAACTTATCTTGTTCCCCAAAAGACCAACAGTTCTCTCCCCTCCCTTCTTGTTTTAACAACCAGCAGTAATAATACCACCCTATCTCGTGCTGTAATCCATCCTCTGAAAAGTGAATCTGAGATAATCAGCAATAAAGCTGACTTAGCCCTGCTCTCTGACAAATAGCGCCTTCTCCACGTGCTCATGGGGAACCTAAACCTTCTCAAGCAGGCATGGTGCAAGTCCTTCCAAACCAGAGAGGCTCCTCCTTCCCTGAAATCCAGGTGAGACAAGTGTCTAAATACCCCAGGATGCTCCATATCAAACAGCCTGGCCCTGGTCCTCAGGTGTGAAGAAAACGACCTGGCTGAGAAAGAGCCATGGCTGATTCATGCCATGCATTATATATATAAATATATATATATACATAACCCTTTTCCATACAGGATCACAAAAGCAGGTAGGAGAGCACAATCCATCCAGAGCTGTCACTGCAATCCAGGCTGCAGATACAGACACGTAACTCCTGTCTTGTTAAAGTGCTCTAACGTAAATTTGGCAGTGGAAAGGCTCAGTGGGGCAAGCTCTCATGGAAAAAAAAGATAAAATGAGAGTAGATAATGGTGCTAAACATGAGTGCATGTAATTATAAGTCCACAGTGTCCATGTCTTTCATGTGCAAGCAGATATGGTTACCTCCTTTATTCCCCACGGTTAAAGGCAGCATTTGTGTCGTAACGACTCTTGAAAAAATGAATGAGTTACTTGAGATTTTTTTGCAAGCTACCCAGGGGATTTGTTTGCCACAGTGATCATTCAACTGACCAGGATGTGAGCAACCCAGAGGTCTGTGCTCCTGAACTCCACCAGCACCTGCTCTGGGCAGGGAGGGAGCTGTGGCTATGGCACATCGGCCACTCTGCAGCCTCTTGGGCTCCAGTGTGGGTGGCAGGGGGATTTCCTGGTGTGTGGAAACAAAGCACAGCTTTCCTGGCATAGCTGTGCTCAGGCCAAGAGGGTTTTACCATCACAGCACATGCTGTAAAGCATTTCTACACTAAACATGACCTCGGTCATCGCTATTATTTTTACTACCTAGATTTGCAGTGCTGTGGCAAAAGGGGGTGGGAGAAGAGCATGGTGATCCCTGTTCTGCAGAACATTGCACTTCCTCTAGTCCCTCCACACATGATTCCCCATAAGCTGTTCAGATCCCCTTCAGGAAATCACATATGTGCTGTTTTACCACCAAAAGCTGAAGTGAGCTCTCACAGGTTTCAATGCTGTTAAGTGCTGCCCAGAGAAACTTCCAGTCTAAGCTGGGAGGCCACAGACACCCTTTTATCCTTTGCAGCTATTGCACAGGTTGAGATTTTTAAAAGAACACATCATCAGGTCCAAGGACAGAATATTCTTTCTCCAAGTTTTCACTATCACAAACTTTCACCACTGCCTATTCCACGACATTTTAAGCAACACGACTGTGCTGGGGTCCACCTGGTGTGCATGGGCTATGAGCTCCTCAGCAGCACCCCTCCTTCTGCCTCCCTTTGGAGAACTCCTCATGAGACAGTCCAGTCCTCCAGACACAGATATCCAAATATATACAGACCTATGGCAGCGCCTGAAGTGCTGTGCACGAGTCCCAGCCGATGGTCTGAGCCAGAAATGTCACCTTGGGGTGACATGCAAGCCTTTTCATGCAATCAGTTAAAAGTGTAGCTGTGTGCTGGGATGAAAAGAAGAGGAGGAAGGGAAAAGAAACTTCACTTGCCTGATGGTGAGATGTGTTTGCACTGCGAGGAAGGAGCTCACGGGCCGTGTTTTTGCACGGCATTTTTACAGGCTTTGGGGCCAGCTACGAGCTCGCCGGTTCATGAACTCCCTCTTGGCCAGGGCCCAGAGCTGACACCAGCTGGGCACTTTTCAGCCTTTATAAAGTAAATTACACTCCAGGAGGCTGTCACTCTTTGCACAAATGAGGAAAACCTGAGGTGAAGCCATACCGCAAAATAACGTGCCAGCACAGAGATAGTCACTGAGGTAACCCCGCAGAGCTCAGCTCCTGGCTCTGGAGGGCAGAAAGAGCTGCTGCTGCTGCTCCTACAGCCCCTGGCAATGCACACACGGGTGAGACACTCTGGAAGTGCTGGGGCTGCTGCTGTTAATGGTGTTTCTCTTCCCATTAGCAAGCTCTGCTGACTTTTCAGGCCTGGGTCTGAGGACAACCTCTGGTCCCCACTGTAAAGCAATTTGAGATGAAAGCTGCTAGTCATGTAACGGGTATGGTTATGAGTCAGCAGCTTCAACAGTTTCCCAAGGTTTTTGTTTTTACTTTAATGTCAAAAGAACAGCATGAAATCCAGGTCTTACCCTCAGTTGTTCCCAGCAAGAGGAATAACTCATATTTCCAAGGAGCTGCTTAGGTGACAATTTCACCTGGACGTGTGAGATCAGCTTTCACCAGCTCCTGTCTTGAAAGGAAGAGTGCTCTTATGGAGAGAGCAGAGGTCAGTACTTAGGAGATCTGGTCTCAGCCCCATGACAAGAAGGTATGTGACCTTCAGCACGAGTCTCAGCATCCCAGGACTCAGCTCCTCCCTCTCGACTGAGAAGTAAAACAAGCCTTTACCATTTCACTCCAGTCCCCCGTGAAAATGTTGTCGCACCCTGTTACTCTGTGAGAGGGAGGTGAAAACTGTGCTCCCGATCGCTCTTTTATGAAACAGGATATTCATTTACTCCTGAATGGCCAATGCAAAAGCGAAAGTGAGTTCAGGGCAATAAATGTGGTGAGGGACTGAATTTGAGAAGCGCTCTCCCCGCGCTTTGTGGGCTGCCTGACCTTCAGCTGAAACCGCTGCATTTTTCACAGTCCAACCAACACGTTTGGAAAAAAAATAAAGGGAAGCAGCGTAAGGTACCACAGCTGGATTTGCCAGGTATGAGACAATAGGAAAGCAATGCAACTTTGAGGGCACAGGAGGGTTTGCTGCCATCTCCGCTGGAAGCACTAATAATGCCTTGCATTTAGCAAGCACTGTAACAGCTGTCAGGGTTAAGCAGCCACTGTAACTTACCCTCAGTGCTGTCACAGAGCTCCATATAGGTCACTCTTGTTCTGTTTAGGGATCTGTCATGCAGACACACTGAAGAGTATTTCTTTCAGTACAAAAGGAAGATGATGTGTCTCTGGTGGTTAACCCTCAGGACATCCCAGTGAGACAGGGGAGAAGTGGGAATGGGCTGAGAAACTGCAGCAGGGCTTCTTTGAGTCCTGCAGAGCTGAGCTGGACACTTCCTGCCCCCAGACACTTTACTTCTGTTCCCTCAGACCACACTACCAAAACAGCTTTCCTCTACTATCTGAACAGAGAGGAGATCCCATTACACAGCTCATTACACATCTGAAGAGCCCTAGGCTTAGCCTTAGCACTAGAGGACAGTCCTATAAATGGCTTTTGCCCAGAAATGGACTCCCAGGCTAAGCTGGTGTATTTTCACCAGAAAATGGGTCAGCACCTAGCTAGCAAATTTGCCAGTGGGAACCAGTGATTTAGTATCATCACCACCAGTGAGGACTGCAGGGAAACTCAGAACAGCCTGGGACAAGCAGGTGAATGGGAAGACAAAATTCCCTGATGACAAGCGTAGGTAATGCCTCCTACAAAGTACAATGGAAAATTACTCATACCTGCATTTGGCACACACGTATTCCCTGCCATTGCCTTTGGCCAGGGAGAGCTGAGCTTAAACAGCTGAAAGAAAAACCTCCATACCTGGTACAGCGAGCCAAAGAAGTAAATAAAGTATTAAGAAGGAGAAGGATGTGACAGAAAACCAGACTGAACATATTCTAGTAATGGGGTTTCTTTAAAGTGAGTTAATGGCTGCCTTCAACCGGGTCATTGGTCTGTAGCAAATAACAGCTCTGCACAAAGCCAGCGGGTGTCAGATGTCTCTCTTTTTGTGTGTGAAAGGAGAAAGTCATTTATGTCGGGAGGTAGCTGGAAACAAAAGGAGCCACCCTCCCGGACAAGGTCTGATCCCGAGACAAATCCTTGGGCAGAGGTGGTTACCCCAACTGCTACTGCAGGCACTGCCTGGCAAGGTCTGGGAGGGGGAAGGAGCAGACCCAAGGGGTGATGGTCTGCAGAGCCCCGAGGCTCAGACATGATTGGCAGGACAGACTCAAATGCTG